ACTGTAGTTTAGCTGTTAGGTTGTCTGAGGCAAGAGTAGAAAGAGGGCTTAGTTAGAGGTTCTCTCTGAAAAGCAATAGAAAAAATATCCTCATGTGAGGATTAACAAAACAAAAAAAAAAAGAAGAAGTTGGAGAAATCACACTACCTGCCTTTAAGACTTACTATAAAAGCTACAAGAGTAAAAGCAGTGTGGTATTGGTGAAGAGTTAGAGACACAGATCAATGAAACAGAACCCACCCTCTATTCAGCAGTTCACTATCGTGTTTGCATCTAGCTTCCCTCCCTTTGTCCTGAGCCCTTTGCTCCTGTCTTGTTCACTTAATCATCCCACTTCACCTCCCCCTCCTTTCCATGCAGTAGCCCTTGACTCAGAATGCCTCATTACTCCCAGGCTGCTCAATTTTCTCTAGCCTTTTATTTATTTGTTTTAAAATCTCCTCCAAGAAGCCTTTCTTAGTTAAAAGAACTCTTTTCCTTGTCAACTCATGGTATTTCCATGACTTTTCCTTGTTTTTACTTGTATAGACACAATACTTATATTGCCCCCATTTATTGATTTACATGGCTGTTAAGAATTTACTCTTTTTTTGGTATTTTTTTAATACATTTTAGGATTTGGCAATGTCTATCTCTCCCTGACTGTTCCAGCTGGGGTTTTCTTTTATTTCTTGTAGAAATCACCTATGCTTAGCACCATATTCAGAAAGATGATAAATATATAATTGTCTTTTGACTGAGATACATTCCTAAATTAAACAGAATGAAATGGGTCTCTTTGTGAGGAGGAACTGACTCGCCAGTGCTCCCTGACAGGGTTGGCTCATTATAGCTTCTGTTTCAGGAAGAGCTGAGCACGGTCCATATCTGTAACCCTGGAACTTGGTCATTTAGAGCCAGCTCATCCTGCTAACTCATTTGCTGAGTTGTCAGGATTGAGAAGCAGCCATAAATGGAAAATGAAAACTCTGAGAGATGGTTGCCAAATGGCTCCTCTGAAGAGCTTAATGCATTTAATATGGGGAGCTACAGAATCAGGAACAGTCAACAGCAAGTATTCTAGCAATGTGGGGGCTCATCTTGCTCCCCCCATCCAAATAAAAAGTCAAGATTGAGAAACTTGACTGTTGATTTTACCAAAAATCAAATTCCAAGGGAGAGATCTGAGAGTCCTTGGAAGGAGCCAATGGAGACAAAAACTCAGTTCTAGATTCTGATGCAAAACCAGACTTTCAGGCTCAGACAATGTCCCTCTGGAGCTACTCTTGTTTTTTCTAGTTTCTCCTTAGTTCCTAACACCATTAAAACCCCAAACTACTCTTTGGAAGTCAGGGTTCATGATTCAAAGACAGAAAAGGGTTTTTCAAGTTCCCTTTGAAATCTCTCTTTCTGCCTCTGAGCCTTTTGAACTTTCCCCTAGCTTACTAGTAGCAAGTGGAACATTCCCCAAACAGGAAAATATGCCACGAAACCTTGTTATAACATCTTTCCTTTTAATGTTTTTCTACATAGATCACTCAGTTTGAAAAGTCCCAGCTGAAGGGTTAGAAAGCAATGTTGCTGCCACATCAAATTTTCACACATAAAATCTTCAGAGAATTTCCCATCAATAGGAAGAATTACAAAGAAAATTTCATCACGTCTGAAGTGACCCATCTGCAGGCCAAAAAGTGGTCGTATAAGTATAAGCAGCGAACAGAGAGAACCCATATTGACTGCAGCTGCCTCTATTTACCCAATCGACACTGAATACTTTAGACCAAGAGCCTGCCCCTCAGGCAGAGGCATCATCCCCACCAGATGCAGCTGTGTGCCAGGCCACAGAAGCCACTGCCAGTAACAGGGCTGCAGAAACCTGGGAGAAGCCAAGGACTCCAGGCCTCAGAATTTCATGTTCTATGTTTTTTAAATCTTTTCAGGTTATTTAGGGATGTGCAGTGTAAACAGGAAGGTGCATACAGGAAACTGCCAATTGCATCACTCTACCTGATTTTATATTATGGTTTCTCACACACACACACACACACACACACACACACACACACACACGTCAATCCTCTCAACCTTGATAAGAAATTAAACTAGGGAACAATATTTCTGTTTGATATCCACTAATGAAGGGTTGTTCCCTGCCCAGCAGCCCTGAGAGGAAGCTGATTTTAAAGGACAGGAAGGTCAGCTGGAGGCACTCTGACGCCTGTATTTGAAAGCAAAGAACAGCAATTGTTTAGCTACCAATGAACTTCAACTTAACTGAACAGAAAACCTGAGATAAAGAAATTTTAAAAAAGGTTTTTTCAGATTCTAAGATATCTTCTCTATATTTTGGTAAGAAAAGCATTATTGTGAAATAGAATGCATGCACAGAGAAGTGTGCAAAACATAAATATACAGCATAATAAATATTATAGAGCAAGCATCCATGTAACCACCACCAAGGCCAAGAGCGAGAACATGCTGACATCTCACAGGGATCTCTCCTCTCAGAGAGGAGTCCAGAGCTGAACATCTTTTTTAGGTTTCGGGCTAACAGCCTCCAAGGGTTCCCAACTTTGACCTTTTCCTTCCTCTCTGTAGCTCATCTCCTAAAAGAAGTTTATAAAATAATTGCCCATATCATCTATGCTCATTGAATTAGTGCCCCATTTAAGTGTTTGAGGGCTTGAAGCAGGATAAATAAAAATAAAAATGACCATGAAAGTGGTTTCTCATGCACTGAAAATATTAGCATATTCTTTTCCAAAACGCTGGGACCTCGCTTCCAGCCGGAACACTGGGATATACAGCCAAGTCTCCCTTAGTAAGGGGCAAGTGCCTTAAACAACTATTTGCAATTTCAGCAAAAGCAGCATGACCTATTTGTATCCATTAAGGTTTTCCCACCTTCAAAGGCTATAAAATAATAAAACCAAAAAATATATAATATGGACATTTTAAAATTTAGAAACTTAATTAATATTCTGACCTTCAGCATAGGATGCACAGTCTCTTTAGAACTGAGTTTTGAGGGCAGATATTGTCATAAGGAGATAAGTTACTATCCAATTCTAGACAGAAAGTGAAGGTAAAAGAAAGCTCCAGTTGCTCTCGGGCAAAGTCATATTATCTTCATCTCCATGTCCCCCTTTGCTGCCTAACAGTGCCTTATTAGAAGCTGTTCTATGAATGTCTGCTGTTCAAAGGCATTTTTACATGAATAATTTCAGAAAAAGAAAACAGAATCATGCTTATTAGTTTTGATGTGTATTCGTGGCTTGTTATTTATACTCAAAATGTAGAGAAAATAAAGCTTAGAATTTCAAGAGAAATTATTATGCATAATATACAACTCAGGAATACAAGGAAGCTTTTCAGGAAGACACTTTTGTTTCTAGTCTTTACTGTTCACTTTAGTTTCCTCCAGTTGGTGTGGAATGCAGTTTCCAGGCAAGATTCAGAAAGAGCTAAAAGACCGGAGGAAAGCTCACTTGGAGAAAAACAAACAAAAAAAAAGAAGCAGAGGCTATCTCTTTGTTCCTGTTCCCTCCCCTTTTAGGTAAGCAGGAAAAACAGGCGGCGGAGCCTGACTTCTTACACAGTGCCACCTAGTGGCCTAGACTGCGAACTTGTTTTTATTTTGCCAAAGGTTGAAAAATTGGAAATGCCAAAGCTATATAAACAGATTTGACAAATTGTTAGTTATATTTATGGGAGAGTGTTAATTTCAGCTGCTAAGACACTTGGATATATTTTATTTCAAAGAGTACATCTCTTATTCATAATGGTGTATCTTCACCTCTGTACAACAGAGTTGTCTGATGAGTCTATACCTTGTGTCTGGTCAGGGAGCGCCAGCCCTGCCCACACCTGTCCATCTCCAGAAGTCTGTAATAAAGCAAATACTGGCTGTGCCCAAGGAAGTCTGGAGAGGAAACTGGAAGGCAGCCTTTTGGTGGGCACTCTACTATTTCTGTTTAGAGGAGCATGTTTGAATAGAATTAAGAACCTAGTTTCAACTTTCCTCCCAAGTGAAGATAAAGCAAAGGCTGTATTGTTGTAGACTGTGGCTTTTTTTCTAATGAACCTTTTCATTCCTCTGCACGTTGCTAAAAATCAGACCTGGCAGCTACTCTCTTTTAACGTGCAAAGGTCTCATGCTAGACATGGTTACCAATGATTTCAAGAGGGGGATGGGAAGAAAAGAAGAGGAAATTATGAACAATGATAAAGAGGTTTCTTAAAAGCATACCCATAGCTGTTTCCAGACATAGCCTCAAAAACAAAGCCCTTGAGAGAAGAGCTGTGGGAAAATCTGAAATCTGCTGCCCAGCTAAAAGCAGCAGAATCCTGGGTAAATCAAAGGAGCTTGACTCAATTAGAACACATTTGGTGAAATGGCGACGATCAGAAAGTGCCATCCTTTGGCTCTAGCTTCCAGCTTCCTGCTTCCTGGCATGAGAACTGACGAAGCAACTGAACATAAGTTGACTATACGTAGGCATAGGCCGTGTATGTAGGCCAGTCATGGGCCTGTTCCAAGTAGGTCAGGAGAGTGGTGGGGTGTGGTCAGTGACTGGGTGGGAAATTGAGCCAGGAACCTCTGAGATCCCCATGATTGAATGACTTTGATTCACTATACTCCCTTCACTTGGAATCATATATGAATAGAAATAATCTTTCTAATGATTCTAGGTAAGCTGAGACCACCTTAGAGTGTTAGCATGAATTAATAACATATGGTTTTAAAAATGGAAGAATGAAAAAAAGCAGGTAGAGGAAACGAGAAGTGTAAGAGTTGATGTTAGAGACAGTGTGTGTGTATGTGTACATATGTATATATATACGATGCTGTGCAATTAAATTGCAAAAGAAACAATCACTTCCTTTTCTGGACCTTAGTCAGATAGACCTTTATCCCTGCTTAAAGCTGCAGCCCTGGCAGTGCTGAGACACTAAGTGGAAGACCCCAGCAGGGCTCGCAGAAGCATCAGTTGCAGGGCTGTCGGGGTGGTTCCAAGTACCTGTTTTGGTTAAAGGGATTGAGAAGAGTCGCTGGAGAAGCCTGTTTTCTGACGTTCTCAGGACTACAACCACGTCGGCAGGGAGAGTGTCTCTATTTTTCTCAAGAAACCCAGAAGCATCATATGATACCTGCAAGATGAAGACCAAACTGCAGGTTAGGCAATGCCCGTGGTCACTGGTGACGCCGGGAGCTGTCTGGGGTCAGTCATTCATCGACCTCTGTACAGAATTCATCTTGGCACAGCCATGCTTTTAAATCCAGACCACCAGATAAGGGGAAATTTTGTAATTTTTGACAGGCCAGTTTATCTTAACTTCTTGTTCAGTTGCTCTTTGAAAAGTCAAATCAAAGTGATATCACATCAGAATAATTATTAAAACAAATGAGGCACTCACTGTATGTGACGCGTCTATCCTATGAGGTAAGCACTGCTATTATCTCCATTTTATTGGTGGGCAAATAGAGGCTTAGAGAGAGGCTGAATAATGTGCCTGTGGTCACATATTTCACAGGTGGTGGGCAGGCATCCAAACCCAGGCGATTTGGTGCCATGCTCATAACCACTATACCCTAACTGCTTCCCAAGGTACTACTCATGGCCCGGAGTGACCGCTCAGGGATGCTGAGCAGTTCTCAGTTCCCAGTTCTCGGGGAGAGGGGAGAGGGGAAAGGGGAGATGG